CTGACTCGCATGCCCCCGGCGGACCTGTTAGCCGAAGAAAGATCCAAACTGAAAAGTCGTTACAACGCTCAGCCAACACCAGGAGTCCCTCCACTTTCCAAAGGTAGATGTAAGGAGCTGGAAAGGGCCATCACGATGGAGCAATGTCAGCGATGGTTATACTCGTCAAAGGGTCAGTGGACCAGGAGGCTGATCCCCGACGTCAGGAGATGGTCGTCCGGGACTCTTCCTAAGATACCACTGACTTTTCATATGACGCAGGCGCTCTCGGGTCACGGCTGCTTCCAGTATCACCTCAACTGAATGGGAAGGGCCACCAGCCCCCTCTGCGTCCAGCGTGGAAGCGCCGAGGACAACGCGGAACAAACCTTTTTGGTTTGCCCTTACTGGGAGCCTTACAGATCGGAACTGACGGAACGGACTGGTAACAGCATAACCATAGATTCCATGTCACGCATCCTCCTAGGTCCGGCAGAGGAAGATATCCCCCAAGAATACGTCGCGAGGCAAGAAGCTATAGAGGAGGCGCTGGAGACTCTCAGGCTCCTCTATTGGATAGTTGAAAGGATAATGTAAATTGAAGAGGAAGAGGAAAGGGCTCGGCAGAGTGCCCGCATTCTTGAATGAAATATTACGTTTATTATTATATGTAAAACCTTGTTTTTATCAATACCTGTGTTTTTACTACTAAGTGTTTATTAATATTTACATGTATTGTTTGTTTAGTTTCCGAATGCAACCTGTAATTGTATCAATTGCATTGTAAAGTATTGTATGAATTGTATTATAACGCACCGAAATTGTAAACTATACCTTCAAGGGGGTAAGCCGGGGGGATTGTCCCCATTCTTCCCCCAATTAAAATTGTATTTGAATTTTCTTCAATAAACGATGGCAGCGTCGTGGAAGTAATACGCAAGCAGTCCCCACGGCGCCGTCGATTTAACAGGAAAAAAAAAATAAAAGGCATTCTGTTTCAATTTATAACCTAATGCCTTTAAAATGTTTTATTTTTCACTGTCAATTTTTTAACTTTACTTGATGTTGACGGTAATACTTTAGTCTAACCTGAAGTAAAAGGCTTATATTAAATTTTGATCCATAACGTTTAATATGTAGTATAATTGTTAATGTCTCACAAAAATTATCTATTTGATTAAAATCTTGATCAACTAATTGAATAGTTATTGAATCAATATTTGTTTTGTTCAATTTATAATATATAAGGTTTGGTGGTGATTGACTCACTTTTGTTCCAGTTTTTCCACTAGGGAAAAACTCGTAAATCGAATGACTTTGGAGGTCTAAATTTGGAGGATTACTGAATGATCCTTGAGCAATATTACATATCACTTTTATACAGTTAATTGAGTTTAAATTTACAGCTTTTCCGAACGCAGAACTAACCTGAATGTCTACCCATACTGAAAAAATCTCTTTTAATTGATTGCGGCCACATGATACATCATCGAATATAATGATAGAATTTTTTTTAGTTAGATTTAGTTTTATAACTTTATCAGCGTCTGTGAATATAAAAAAGTTAGCACCTTTTATATCATCTATTATTTTTTTTAATAAAATATATTTTCCTGATTAGAAGTTTTAGAGTATAAATAAATATTCTCAAATCTTATCCGTTTTCATGTGTGATTAGGTTTTACATTATATTTGTTTTACCTGAACCACTAAGACCAACTATAATAGCACGTATAGTGTCGGGTAATAACGGACCGTACCTTGATAGTTTTTTTATTACTTGAGTGTCCACATTTAAAATATCTAATTTATCTTTCTGTTCAATCAAATTCATTTTCTTATAAATACTCTAGAATTTATAATTTATTATCAGTTATTGATGACGCGTTCAACTCATAAGTGGAAATCGGATAAGACTGGTAAAGGTTTTATAAACTCTCTTATAAATAGTCTTCCGTTTGAAGCTTACATTCCTGGTTATCAGTTTTGTGGTCCTGGTACGAAATTAAAAAAGCGAATAGATCGTGGTAAGAAAGGCGTAAACCCGTTAGATAACACCTGTTGCAATCACGACTTAGTGTACGCGAAAAGTAAAAATTTAGATGAAAGACATAAAGCTGATAAAGTGTTAGAAAATCGTTCTTAGGAAAGATTTAAAGCTAAAGACCACTCCTCGAAAAGAGAAAATTGTTGCCTACTTGGTAACAAATGCGATGAGAGCTAAACAAAAAATGGGGATGGGTTATAAAAGTAGACAAAAATAAGCTAGAAAAAAAAATAGTTCTAGACTACGAAACGGCGAAGAAGAGGATAGCAGACACAGATATCATGACCAACTATCCATCGGCGGTCATCGATATGGATTACGTGACGAAGCTCCAGGATAGATACGATTCCGCCGTCTTGGACCAGTAAGTGGAAGTGCTGGTGGAGGAGACGAAGATTGCCGGGTACGATCGGGCCAACATCAGTAAATATGCTGTAATTGATGTTGCTAAAAAGAGGAAGCCCCACTTCTTCTTAAGAAACATCAAATACAGGAAACGTTTACTGACCAAGATCATGGCTGCTGTTAAGAAGGTCCCGTGATAGACATGTGAGTGTATCGACTATCCAGTTCAAAACTGAAACAACTCAAAAAAAAATCAAATAACTTTTTTGTTAACAATTATCAATTAAATAACGTATAAACTCACGGTCACCGCCACCGATCCACACACACATACAAATATACACACAGTTACACACCCACTGCACACTAGCATTCAATAGTCTTGCTCGGCGAACCTGTCTACTTCTATTAACTTGCTAAACGTAAACAGGTCGGTTGGTGGGTGACCGGGGCACGCGTATTTATAAAATTGCTTTGATCGCTCTCCTGAAAAAAAGGTTTATTTTGAGTTTTTGGAGTCTTGAACTGCTTAGTCGATATGTGGATTAGGCCTACTGCGGATACCACTATAAAAAAAAAACGAGCCAAACGCTATACTTCTGAGGTGGTGTGGAAATTAACAACTACAATTTTTATTAATAAAGACCGATATGGAAAACTTTCAAGAAAATTAGGAGTTGGCCCGGGAACCGGCGGTTGGCTGATACCAGGCCTTTATCGCGGCGCGGGGTCAAGCTCGACGACGTCGTCGGATCCCGAGTGATTCACCGGAGACCGACCCATGAGCTGTCATTTTTTTATTATCTAGCGAAACCACAGCTAACCTTCGCATCCTCGCGGGTCTGACCTCCCGCGACGGTCCGTTCAGGGGTAATTCCCAGATTTTACGCGGAAAACTAGTGGATCGGATAGCGTGTCCGGACGGAAGACCAAGCCCGAAGACGGGACGTGGATCGGACGAAAACCAAAGGTCGATCCGAAAGTTTTCCCGTAACAGACCGTTTGTAGCGGTCTGCCGGCCAAGTCTGGGGTTCCCTAACGAAAATCGAAAAATCCGATCAATCCATAATGACACGGATTCTCAAATCCACGAATTATTTCGACAAATCCCAGACGTTCGATCGAAACGGTCGTATCCTACCGAAAATTTCTGACAAGAAAATTCTGTCGGATTACCAATTTAGTTTTCTTTCTTCACATTCAACGACCTATCAACTGTATAGGATAGTAGATGCAATATCTTCTCCCTGGAAAAAAAATTATTTTGTACAGCCGCTTTCTTAGACATATCATAAGCTTTTGATAGAGTCTGGAGTCTGGCACGATGATCTCCTGCATAAGCTAAAAACAATTATTCCTTCACTTCCAAATACAATAGGGGTCTGTGACGTCAAATATTGGCAAGTATAAGAGCTGAGATCTCTTAGGGCTGCAATTTATCACCAATTCCCTATAATATTATATTCGCTACAGATCTATCAATCACACTAAATAATATATCAGTAGAAGACTACGCCGATAACAAAGTAATAATCTCTATGAACGATAATCCACTCAAAGCATCTGCAAACTTTCAAACTCACCTAGACCTTATAGAGAATTGGTACAACAAATGGAGATTTAAATTAAATCATAACAAGTCTATCCACACTATCTTTACACTAGACCAGCTTCCTCCCCTGAGGTAACTCTATATGGTACTCCAATTCCATTCTCTTCTATAATTAAATACCTTGGTCTTACACTAAATAAAAGATAAACGTGGGTCTACCATATTAGAAAAAAAGACTATCACTGAACAACCGTTTTCGTATCCTAAAACCTCTTATTAGAGATTATCTCTATTAAACACATCCTCCCTAATATCAAACTCCTCATCTTCAAAACATAACTGAAACCAATTTGGACGTACGGCAACAGCTATGGGGAAGTGCAAAAATTAATTAATGCTCCCCATACATATCTTATCATATTCTCCATACAGACTTCAAATTAAATACTATACATTAAAAAGCCAAACACTTTTACAAAAGATTCGACAACCATCTTTCCTACCACTTAAATCCTTTAATTAAAAACATTTCCTCCCTCACAATCCTCAGCAGCCCTTCTAGATACTTAAAACGTTAATGGTGCAGAGACCATATTCATTCGTACCTACTTTCGTAGTCTCCATATACTGCTTATTGCTCAATTATGTGGAAAATTTACCGATACAGTCATTAGCACATATTATACCGATAAGATAAAAATATAATACAAACGTTAGTAAATATATATTGATATATACATTGCAAAATCTACGATACTATTTTTATAGCAAAACTTCACATTGTTATTATACTTATACGTAGAGGTATCAAATAAAACATAAGTTTGGCATTCATAAATTTTCTGTTAAAATTATTTTAATGTATATTTTAATTATAAATTGCGACTGGCGAACTCTAAAAAATATTTCGCGACTCAAAGAATGGGAAACTGCTCTAATGTATGTATTTTATATACTTATTAAAACTACGAACACGGAAAAGCGTGATATATATTGCTTATATTGTTTTATTTCTGATAACATAACGAAATTATAACATATTTTGTTGTGTACAATAATATATTTTGATAACTTTTATCAATCGTCATTCAATAATAAGCAAACGCCTTGTAAAATCCAAAAACTGTTATGAATATATGTTTTCAAGTCTGCTTCAAATACTAAACCAATGCCCATTGCATTTCGCCGCAGTGATGTAGTGTACACCGGAGTACGAATAGTGTTCTGAAAATAGAAAGAAAAATAATGGTGTCACACAATACTATAATAGTGACCAAATGATATAGGTATATCAGGGGTGACCAACAACATGAATAGGTTTACGGAATACATTGATAAATGCAATAATACCAAGAGCTAAAATGTTTGTAGACACATTTTATATAGTTTGATCATTTTTTATGAGCTCATACCTAAAAAATTAAAATTAATAATAATATTAAGTAAATTTTAATTTTGTAAATAAGACGCGAGCCGCAAGTTGGCCACTTATGATATATATCATTTAAAAACAATAAGCTAGCACCCTAGCCACAGAAAATAATAGAATAAACAGCTATCTGAATTTCTTTCTTGGATGAAAAATATTTCCGTTGGCCTTGAAATCAATTTTTTCCAGTAATATTTTTGATAATACGTGCACGATTTTTACATAACCATGTAGAACAAAACGTTATACGTATTATACTTAAAGTATTCGATGTCATGTAAGGCGTTCAGTAAAGTGTGAGCAAATCAATTAACTGATTGATCCCTTCTATTCTATTATGCTCTGTGTCTTAACCCAACTGGTCCTTGTTGTAATGTATTCGACACAACAACCAACAGCGTTTTTTTTTTTTTAAACAACAAGTGGTTTTTATGTAAATGTTATTATGTATGTTACTAGTAATTTCAGCTTAGTAGCTTCGATGGGGACAATGAGGATGATTGGTAGGTTTTCGATCAATACGTTTGTTTTTGAGATAGCTAAACACTGTGCGTTCATATCCCAATGCGCTCCTTCAATAAATATTCCACTTATATAACAACCCTGAAATTAAAATTTATCGTCAAACTAATTTGTATTAACCGATTTAGTCAAGTTTATCATATTGTATTTGTAAAAATAAACAGTACGAGGGTTGATACAGTACGATGAAATGCGTTAACATACGTTTATGGTCATTTCAATAGTGCGTTATGCCTTATTTATGTGAGTATCGTATATATTTTACCGTATTTGGGGATATTTGGACATCGTCTTTATTTGTATATTCAGTAACCGCTGTATACAAAGTAGAATGATCCAATGACCATCCATTCGCTCTGCACGCAATCTGTACGATTGCTGTCAAATATGATTCGGGAACGTGAAGACCAGCTAGCCATATAACCAGAGGTTCTCTAATTGAGCTCTATTATGATGATTAATATTGAGTATTAACTACTTTATATTATTATTATTGAATAGTAAAATAATATCGTACCCACTTTGTATACTGTTCAGTTCTTAAAACGAAATGTTCTATCCATCCACCAAGGTTTTTACACGTTTGTGGGGCCAGCTTCAACCAAGCAGTTGGTATTTGACCGTTGTATAAAGACAAAGAAACGCTTTCTAAAATAGAATCCATTCCAATTTCACCCAATAGAGCCTGCATGATATAATTCAAACAAATTCCTAATTTTTTTTTATTTACGCAAAATTGTATTCATATAGTTAAACAAACTTTTCGCAACATCGATAAAGTGACCCTAATTTTTTTTATCAATATATTGAATCTCTCTAATTCTTGGAGCAAGACAACAGTACTGGGCGTAAAGTTTTTTTCGTACGTTTTTCTGACATTTCTGATGTCGAATAGATCGGGTAATTTTTGCAATATATCATCAGCTACAGCATCTATTAATTCTTCACGGCTCTCTCCAGAATCAGATGACTCTTAACATAAATACATATGTATGTACATTATTATTAATTAGTACATAATATTAATTTTAATAATTGTACGAAACAAATGAATTCGTCGACTAACCCGTCTGTGGTTGTAATTTAAGTAGATTATCCCAAATATTTTTTGAAGCTTTTGTAAAATATCCCATCTCAGCATTAAAATGCAGACCCAGTACCTCTGGTCCACAAATTATAGGTAGTTCATCAATTGACTCTAGAAGATATATAATATAATATATAGGCGGTATGACACTATGTTAAATGAAAACAAACTTAAATAATCGTCCTTAATTTCAGCCATTGGTATTTCATATTGAACATTTTTATTGTAATGGAAATAAAATTTTTGAAACTTATCAAGTATAAATTGCCCAAAATATTCTTGCATAAACGTATTTACGATTCTCTGATCATAACTATCAATCACGCGCCCACCATACATTACATTTCCAATTAAATATCTCAATGTATCCCAAGGCAATGGAGCATCTATACCATCATCCAAAGTTTTGTTTAAATAATTAACCAGAATCTGTACGCAAACTGAAAAGTCTGATTCGCTAAAATCATAAGCAATATTCCAACCAATTTTGTCGTATTTCCTTCTCTCCTGTAATAATCAAATTGATTAATATAGACATTTGTATAACTTAATTTTTTTTTTTACTTGAACAACTGCGTGGAAAAATGCGAGAACATATATTAATGATTTATATGCTGGGTGAGCACATTCGTTCAAAGTGTCTTGTTTCAATTTAGTAAAAGTGTTTCTAATATTTAATTTCAGTCCGTTGGGCGGCTCAGTGACCACTAAAACATAATGTCAATTCAATATATTGAACTAAATTGGTAAAAACAATTTACCTTTTAAAGATCTTTGTAATACTGATACTGGGAAAAAAGGAGTTGCTTCAGTAGCTAGCCATAGTCTAAAATCTGGATGAATTTTGTTTGTTCTATCCAATATCTTTTCAAGATCATATAGGAAGTTTATCAATAAATGACAATTTTGGAACATCAACCAGTGACCATCATTCATTGCTAAACTCAAAAACTTAAGTGCAATCTGAAAAATGCAATTTTGGTATAAGCTTCTGATTAATAATAAAGTTTTAAGTGTCTACTTTTTCCTGTCCTTGTCCAAGTGATAAAAATTCAAATTCATTTGATGAAACTCCACATCGACCAGCGAGTTTCACCAGGTCGGGAGTCGGATCGGACCCAGGACTTAAAATAAACAGTCCGGGATTTTGAGGTTCAGTATGGGCATAAATCACATCAAAATCAATAGTTGGCGTGGTTATGTACATCTCATCCATTACTAGGACTATATAATTGCTGATAGCTTGATAAGTGCGATCAACTCGAAAACATCGTAATAACATGAGTTTAGAAAAGGGTTCGTGTAATTCAGAAAATGGATAAGGTGGATCTGTAGATTCTGGCATATCTAGATCATACCAGATTTTCCAATCAGTAATATTATTAATTATATTTTCACTCAGATTAGGGAATATTTCTGGAAAATCTTTAGTTAATTTAACAATATCTTTCCAGTTTTGCGGTGACAACCAACTGATAGGATTTATATATTCTGGATTTTTATCTAGTGTAACATTTCCTTTAATAAAAAAGTCAAGTTGAGATTTGGATACGTGATTCGTGCTTATTTGAAGTTTCACTGCGATTTGAAATGAAAATAAAAGTTTATGCCTTTCAAAAATACCTAAATCAAAAAATTAAACTAATGTACCGATTATTATAATGCTTAATGTAAAAAAATAACCTGTACATCCGTATCTATACAGGTTTTCAGTAAAAGTGTTAATAATATTCATAAGTCTTTTTTTTAATTTCTTGTGAGGCAACGCTTTTTTTAGAGATGTTTTAAACACGTTTTGGTAACTAGAAAGCGAATTCTGATACATTGCATTAATTGTACTCATATCCGACAGCACGAAGAACAATATAGCTCCTCTAGTAGCAGCTGAACGAAATTGGTTTCGAAGTACATCGATTTCCATTGCAGTAGTAGTTGCTAACGACAATTTTTCAGTAACTTCACTTGCTTTTGATTTAGTTTCTTCTAATGTTTCAATCAGATCTATGTTGTCTAATATATTTCCTGATGATGTAGCCAGTTCACGAAGCAGAGAATCCTCAAGATTTTTTAATAGACTTTTGTTTGAGCTGATCTCCATAACCAATTCGTCACTTTGTTGTTCTAAATCGGGTCTTTCATTTTTAACTACATTACCCAATAGTTGATCTTCGAGTCCCTAAATAAAATAATTGTTTTAAACACAACTTATTAAATTAAAATATATATCAATGTAACTTTTTGTGTAATTAAGCAATTTATAACAGTTGCTTTTGTATAAATCCATGGAGAAAAAAATGGATTGGCTATTTTCGTAGTAAGATAAATACGAAATTTTTCATCGTAATCTACTTCTTTGTTACCCAATAATACAAACTTTCGACCAGAAATATCTAAAAAAATGATTAATATATTCTCGATACCATTAAAAAAAATATAATTCTTATTAACTCTTTATATTTTTTTCTAAAACATTTTCAATTATTGAATCTATATACTCCACATCTTGAAAAAGTACGGGTGTTCCATAAATAATAGCATTTTCTACATGTTTCAAATAATCAGAATCGCTAAATGACAATGTTTTTAGACTATTTGGTTCTTCTTTTTGTTTTATCCAATTTAACGCCTGTAATTTTTTAATCCAAACTTAAATTATCAATATTTTTTAAAGTATCGATTAGATTTAGATTACTTGTTGCTGTGGATCTACACACAACGGAAATCTACTCGCCCTCATAGTAAGAATACCATTCTGAATTGATAAATCATCTGATGGCAGTCCTTCCGAATTCCAACTATAAAGTAATATTATTTTATCAAAAAATAAAATGAGATTATTTTTTTCAAATAATTACGTTGAAATCGTAACTTCGTCTGAAAGTTCTATTTCAACTTTAAATGGATTAGTTATCGGTATTTTACTTTCTATTATACTTGGAAACCAATTATTGAATAACATATCAACACGAAATTCATATGAAAACGGTGCCGTATAAGCTAAGAATGACGAACTCATCAAACAATTTCCAAATATTTTTTTCTTATACTCTTCCAAATCAACTAAATCTTTCTTCCATCTAGTATTCTCTGAACTTAAACCTTTAATTAATTTATCAGCTGCAATTAATCTACGTTCCATAAGATCTTTTTCTTCTTGAATAATTGCACGTTCAGCCATTGCATTTTTATATTTTTCATTCAGTTTATCTAGCGTGAGCATTATGTCAGCTAGTTCCTTTTTGAGGTGATCGATCAGTTTAGATACCTAAATGATAAATCAAAAATCATGGTATATGAAAGTTAATTGAATGTAAATCATGAATGCAGAACCATAGGTTTAGCGATCAATAATCTATAATATATGCTAGCTCACAAATAACTGAACAAAGTATTATATAAAGAGTTATTAAGAACTAAATGATGATAAATTAGCATAATAAATTCTCTAATTAGTTATTTATTAAAATTATCTGAATAAAACCATTTATTTTTCATAAAAATAGCGTTAAAATATGTGCCTTTAATTCCAGGGATTATATCATAAAAATATGTAACATTTTTATATTTTTGAGTTTTTAAAAATTATAAAATATTAGGTTTTTGTAATGTAACAGGCTGGGTTTTTGATTTCAGAACTTTTTTGGAAAGTTGTTCGTTACACTATACGAATATCATTAGAATTTTATCAAGAATAAGTTAGGTTGTACAATTTAAATTTAAGTGGTTGTCCAAAGAATGGGAAACGAATAGTATATATCACATTAGTATTTCTGATTTAAAAATCCAGAATTTTCAATTCTACAAACAAAGAATGTTGTAGTTAATTATACAGTAGACACTATAATTTTGAATCCTAGAAAAATTGTAATTCTGAAATAACCTACTTATTGCACTAAATTGTACGCCGTTTATAATTGAATTATTGCATAAATACGAAAAACAACTATAATACCGTTTGTCAAAGACTTCTGGTCTCAAAGCAAAAGAAAGAGTACACCATAATAAAAAAAAATTGACGTACATTATTTTTGAATGTATCATAGTTCAACGGCTATGAATCAACATTCCACATCGCTTTCATACCTTATACCATTATACTTTTTTTTAACACTTTCAACGCCGCTGACGCGTATACGCGTCAACAAAGTTTATTTCATTGGGCCAGTGACGCGGCGTTTACGCGTCAGTAACATACGTACTTTTCTATCCTCCATAATTTAATTAATTTAATTTTAATAAACTCTGAAATGTACACAAGATTTAGACAATAAATTCTTAATTTAAATCTATAAATGGTTTGAGTTTTCGTTATTTTTAGATACGAATAATCGTTGTTTTTGACGACCTTCCCAAAACAATGTATATGAACGTATAAAGAATTTAAATTAGATATATTATGAATGTTTCTACTGATATTTAATCATTTATTAATTATAACAACAATTGTAATATTTGGAAAATACTGTATCATGCAACATGGCTATTTTGCTACTAGTTAATTTGTTTCATTTCGCGTTATTTACGAAATTATAACGGAGGCCTGCATATTTTATATTATCAAACAATTAGAACAATTCATAATTATTTTGACGGTAAGTTATTTTATTTCAGCTTTATGTTATATAATTTTCATATACTAGCTATTATTTACTTTTACTACGTATAATTACTTATAATTTTTATTTGAATACTATTGTAAATTATCTTTTTTGTTTCTAAAATACTTATGCCTATTGCATACTATATAGTATACTTGATATTATGATATATCATATAATATTTTACCTAAATTTATTCATTGAATTATTATGTAGAAATTGTTGGATCTTAGAATAAATATGGATAGTCAACCAGGACCATCACGAGAGAGGTCTCCGGTAGTAACGAGGCGTAAGAGGTTGACTGACGAACAATTATTGGCATTATTACAAGAGTCAGATGTAGATGATGGAGATAGTGATTTTGAAATTGATACAGAGGAAAGCGATTCTGAAGATAATTTATTGATAGAGGCAGACACACCCGAAATACAAAACATATCGACTGAGCATTGGAGTTCTAACCCAATACAGGTCCCTTTAATTCCATTTACAGAAAATACAGGGTTGAAAGTACAGCCGAAGGGACATGAGTCTATTGACTTTTTTTATTTACTAGTATCTGATGATTTTTATAATTTTATTGTAGAAGAGACTAATTTGTATGCTGATTAAGTTCTTAGTTTTTCGTCGGACGAATCTAAGATAACTCATTGGAAAGATTTAACTACCACTGAACTGAAAGTATTTCTTGGGCTACTTTATCATACTGGAACAATGCGTTTAAATAAACTTGAGGACTATTGAAAACAAGATGATCTATTTAATATTCCATGTTTCAAAAAACATATGAGTAGAAATCGTTTTTTATTAATTCTTAGTGTTTTAAATTTTAGCCATGACGCTGTCAACCCAAATAATAGACTTTTTAAAATTAAATCAATTGTGGAATATTTTAATAATAAAATGGATGAGGTGTATTATCCCGGTAAAAATGTATCTATAGATGAGTCAATGATATTATGGCGTGGTAGATTAATTTTTCGACAATATTTACAGGGAAAAAGACATAAAGTTGGGATCAAATTATATATTTTAGCTGAGCCAAACGGCCTAAATTTAAGAATTATGATTTATACTGGAAAAAAACTGTCACAGCTTCAACAACCGCATTCTAATAGTCACACGGAAAACGTAGTTATAAACCTTATGCAAGGAAAATTGTTCAAAGGTCATTCACTTTACATGGATAATTATTACAATAGCATAAATTTAGCTCAGATACTAATTTCAAAAAATACTTATTATACCGGCACATTACGTTCAAACAGAAAAAAAAATCCAAGAGACATTATTAAAAAAAAAAATTAAAAAAGGAGAAAATATATCGAAGTATTCATATAACGGGATCTGTGTATTCAAATGGAAGGACAAAAGAGATGTTCTGGGCATATCAACAGAATGGACTGCAGATATGGTAGATACACAAAATAAACGGGGAGACAAGAACAAAAAACCGTTGCTAATAATAAAATATAATAATTATATGTCAGGTGTAGATCGTCAAGACCAAATGAAGGGTTCAGTGCAACAACCAGATAAGTCACATTTTTTTGAAAATCGAATTATCTATCAGAGATTATAGATAAGAAATTGCTCTATCTATTGGTACAACAAACATATATGTCCGATTATTATTCATTGAGTTATAATGATGATGGACTTATCTTATTTGGTTAGTTTGGGATGAAAACCAGATAAGTCCGGACTTATCTGGTTTTTTCCCCAAATATAGTCACACTGTATTTTCACTATAATAATATTACGTTTATTTATTTTATATCAGACTTGATTTTATTGGCGGTTATATTATTGTTATTCCCGATTTAATTTAACTTTACGTGTACGTCTTACAAAATGTTATCGCAAATGTGAAATATATACTAGTAACTAGACGTTTCACTTTCACGTTTTTAATCGTAACTGAGTTCGTTTCTATGTGTTTCGAATATTGTTATTTATATAAAAATAATATGAGAAATATTGTTCGTGCGTCTTTGTAGTGTATGACATCATGGATGAATTTGAAATAAATGCAGCATTGGACGATTCATTTAATTTTTCTGAAGTAGATGATGATATTTTAGATCCAGACTTTGAATTAAACCACAATAATTATGTGCAAGAACATGACTTAATAGGTATAATACCTTTATCTAGCAGTGATTCTGAAGAAGATTTACCAATAAATGATGAAAGGGTTGACAATTGTAATTTATTACAATTTTTATTACATAAGTAAAGTAACTTATAATGTGATTATTTTATTATTTTGTTTCAAAACACTGAAATTATTTTATTTTATTGTTTTATTTCTTTTAATATATAAGTAAACAAAAGATTGCAAGTATACACAGATGAGATAGTAGGTGATTACCAAAGTGGATTCAGAAAAAATAAATCAACTACTGACCACATATTTGTCTTAAGACAAGTTATGGAAAGAAGCTACGAATACGCGAAAGATCTACATATGGTTTTTATAGACTACAAACAAGCCTATGATAGCATAGATAGAGAAATATTATGGAAAATCCTTAAAAACTTTGGCTTACCAACTAAATTAATCAACATGATAAAACTATGTAACACAAACATCAGCAGCCGAGTCAAGGTGAACAACGAAATATCGTCTCCGTTTACAATAAATAGTGGACTGAAGCAAGGGGATGCGATGTCACCAGCACTCTTCAATATGGCATTGGAGAGCGTAATAAGAAAGATACCACGAACTGAGACATTAAACCCTGATGAAGGAAATATCCTACTAGCATATGCAGACGATATAGTGGTTATTGGGAATTCGCAAGAGAGTATCCAGAGTACTGTTGAAGAACTGATGAAGATAGGAAAATATATTGGCTTAACAATTAACAGTGGAAAAACTAAATACATGATGTTAAAACGAGGAGGGGGTGATCATAATAACCTCCAAGTGGGAAATAACATCTTCGAACAAGTACAAGAGTTTAAGTACCTGGGGTCTACGCTAAATAACCAAAACAACATGCACGGAGAGATAAATATCAGATTGGACGCTGCTAATCGATGCCTTTATGCACTATCGACACTCTTTAAATCTAAGTTGTTGTCAAGAAAAACAAAAGAACATCTATATATTAGTTACATTCGCCCTGTATTGACATATGCATGTGCCACATGGGCAACGACAAAGGGCGATGATGAAAAGCTACGTCTATTTGAGAGAAAAATTCTTAGAAAAATTTACGGACCCGTTTTCAACAATGCGGAACAAAAATGGGAAATAAGAACCAACACCCAACTATACCAGCTTTACAAAAGAGAAGATGTGGTCCAATTTATCAAAGGGACAAGGATAGAATGGGCAGGCCATGTGTGGCGAGCTGATGGAAGTGTATTGAAAGGAGCACTGACATATATGATAAGAGGAAAGAGACCAAGGGGAAGGCCACGGAAGAGATGGAAGGATAGCGTCGAGGAAGTATTAGAAGAAATTGGAGGAGACTGGGAACAGGCATACAATAGAGAACAATGGAAGGAATTAGTTTTGGCGGCCAAGAGTCTAAATGGCTCGTAAAAAGCCTAAAAAAAAAAAAAAAAAAAAAATATATAAGTAAAGTAACTATTATAATGTGATTAATTTATTATTTTGTTTAAAAAGGCTGAAATAGTTTTATTTTATTGTTTGATTTGTTTTATTATATAAGTAAAGTAACTTATAATGTGATTAATTTATTATTTTGTTTAAAAATAATGAAAATATTTTATTTTATTGTTCGATTTGTTTTATTATATAAGTACCTAAGTGAAGTTTTGTACTATTAGAATAACTATAATACTGATAACATTGCATTTTATATTAATTAACAGTTTTTTAGGAAAATTTTACTCATTTTTTTTTTATAGTGTTCTATTTTCTGTGCATAAGTGGCATTTAGAGGTGCACAAACAGTCAGTAGAAAAATATTGAGAAGGTAAACTGTTCAATTTGTTCCCTCCTAAGTTTAAAAAGTTAATTTTTGCTCCCCCCTCCCCCCCCATAAGAATAATAAATTAGAGCCGATTATACTATGAACAAAAAGTATGCAATTTACAGAAAAATTTTTTAAAAAAAAATGTTTTTATGGTTATCTTATTCAGCCTTGTTACCCAGTACCTAAGTTATGGTTGAAGTTCCATTGTGATACATATCTACAACTTTTAAAGTTATAGTGAGCCCTTAATATTTTAAACTTTTCTGTTAATCACTTAAACTGTATGGGTATATTATTTTAATTTGACTCCGTTTGGTGTAACAACCAGATAAGTCTATGCCCACTTCAACTTAAGAAAATATTATAAAAAAAACTAATCAAAGCTAAAACTTAAAAATTATATATTGATATAGACCAACACTTTAACTTTACAATTTTTTTGAAATTTTTTTAATATCTCTGTTTTAAATGTAACAAAACTTGTTATAAGCCTCTCCTATAAAATTTAAAAAATGTGACTTGTCTGGTTGTTGCACTGAAATGATGTCCTACTACCCGTGTGAATGAAAATCTCTTCGATGGTACAAGAAAGTTGGTATTCATATTTTACAACAGCTACTTCTCAATTCTTATCTTTTATATTGTAAAAATGAACGTAAAATATCTTTTTATAACTTTCGGCTGAATATCATACGTTCATTATTAAAAAAAAAAATTATACAACTGGTGAACTTGGAGAAAAACAATATGAAATTACGACTAACTTACTGACTGCAATTCCATTTGTACATACTTTACAACTCTTAACAAAAAGTGAAAAAACGACAAAAGTTCAACGTAAACGATGTAGTTATTGTAAAGAAATTGGTAAACGCAAAGATACATCATACTACTGTTCTCTCTCTGTCCACAGAATCCACCTTTATGTTTAGGATCCTGTTTCGAAAAATATTATGCAAAATAATTTGTTTTTTTTTTTATTTTATACATTTTTAATAATTTATGTATTTATTCAATTTTTGAAACATTTTACAAAGATTTTAAATCATTTATTTTGTGTTATAATTATGATAAACAGATTTTTATTTATTTTATAATACATTTTTCAATTTATTTTATGGTTATTTTATAATAGGACATTTATATTCATATATTATGAGTTTAAATATATAAAATATAACATATGTGTATACTGTCAAAGTAGTTTATACATAAAAAATTAATAATAAAGTTGTTAAAAAGTAATATTAAAATGTTATTCATGTATTAATAAACTACGCGGAGTCGCGGTATAATTGCCGAAATCGCGGGCGGGGTTGAAAGTGTTAATTTACTAACTTTAGGTATGTTAAAATAAACTACCAATTCAACTGAAATTGACTTGAAAAATAAAATAAAAATCTTAAAATAATATGATCATTAATCACATCAATTTAGTTTTAATGTCATTATCATATTATTTTATAATATACAACCAAATTTTGTTTCCCAGGAAACATATAATTAAAACAAAAATTTTCTAGCTATGTAAAAAAAAGGAAATATTCTGTCAGTCAGTAGAACATTTTAGTCCTTAACTTACTGATGGTTAATTAAATTACTATTTTTTATCCTTTAAGTTTGGCTTAAAACAAACACAAATTGCAAAACTTGACGTAGAACAACTAAATTAATTATAAGGATTGATATTAATTGCAAAAGAATATATAACATATTGTTTTACATTACTAATTATTGTTCTATTACACAATTTGATAGATTGTGATAACATTTTTTGGTTCTGGCTTTATGAAATTACAACTTTTATAAAAATGTAAATTACTACGAACTTGCTCATGGTCTTTTTCGAGTTCTTTTAGTTTATCTTGTTTTGGTTTAACTTCTTTATACACAACACAGTATTTTAAAACAGCATCAACAAAACTCAATAATCCATATCCTGCTTTACTGATATCTTGCATAATAGCAATTTTTTTAGATGTCTGTTTACAATAATAGTAATAAGTATATAAATCCAATATATATATATATTTTTGGTATGTCATACTTTAAGTTTTGCTTTGACTTGAGATTGTACTTTTGGAGAGATTTCGTTTGCATTCAATCCTTTTAACGTGTTTAAAAATCGTGGGTCAGACATCATTTGTTTGGAAACTTTCCAGTTAACTTCTTTATAACCAAGAATTAAGGCCACGCATTCGGTCACTACTTGTACAGGTTCTGGTGGTGTAGCGAATGATCTGATTTCTGTAATATCGTTTTTATTTAAATTGCTTAACGCTTCCTTTGCAGAGACTAGTGCTGGTAACGCTTGGCTTAATATTTCTTCAGCTTCATTTTTCTCAATGGCTATTATTTTGCCAGCTTCTTTACTTTCAATTGTCTTTTCAACAACAAATTCTTTTTTTGTATTTGCTGTCTTAGAGGCTATTTCAAAACGAAAAAAATATATGAAACATAATTTAGTATTGAAATATATGCTATCCTCCTTTCCATAAACCAATGACACCATAGTAGGCAAACATAATATTTCGATACATTTTAAAAGCTTACATAGTTTAGACTTTAGATGACATATTTTTATTCTATAACATCTTAAAACTATAGATATTTGCAGTAAAGACACAATGTTGTTAGTCAAAGTGTGTAGGTATTCGTTAATATATTTAATATTAATTACTTTATTACCTTCTGAAATTTCCTGTAGAATAATTTCACAAGCTAATGTTTTCTCGGCTACAACAACTTTTTGTACTTCTAGCTGTTCGTTAAGTATTATTAATTGTTCTGTAGCTTCATCAATTTTTCGTAGACCAACCAATAATCTTTCACACTAGGTATACATTAAAATATTATTTTAAAAATTGCACATTAAAATTATCTACTACTAGTAGTTTATATTGTTTATAATACTGAATACTTATAATTACTTGACGTGCAATATTAGTAAATTTTTCATCAATCAAATTTAAATATAAATTTATATAGTCTAGATAATGTGTGGGAGTCAAATAATTTTTGCGTTTTAATTTTATTAAAAAATCATTAGTGTAGATACTCATTGTTTTATGTGTATAAACTATATGGTTGGTGATGCTTTGTTTGTAATCTTGGGGTATTGAATGTTCCTTAAAAGCATCAATCATTTAGTTATAAAGATAATTTAATTAATAAATATTAGCTACTTTGTTTATGAATGATTGTGCAACAGCAAGCAAAGCCTGATCTGGCCAGGGGAATATCCAATTAATATATGTTTTATTTACTAAGCCTGGAAAATTTCGGCATCTTTCTCTAAGTTCATCTCCAGGCGACATAGAAAGTACTACACGAAGATTGTTTATGCATGTTTTTATAAAATACGTCCAACCACCATCTCTACAATCAATAGGTTAATAAATAGCTACCTAGTTTATTCATGTTTTATTCACTTATGTATATTAAAATTTTTATTATTTTCCCTATCTTAAGATTAAATTACTTTGTATTTTCATAACCAGCATCACTAGCAATATTTCTGACTTCATTTGATATTCCATTTTTTTCATCTTCTGTGTACAATGCTTGTACTGTTCCAACCATTAATATATTATTTATTATTTCCAAAAAACCTTTAAAAATTCATTGTTTGGTTTAATTAAACTAAGATATATTTAACAATCAGCATAAATATATATTGCAATAATTCATTATGGTTTTAAGAATACATACTTTCTTCAGAAATTTGAGACTGCGTTAAGAAAAACACTAAACGTTTATTTTCAACGCCTAGCATCATAAATAATTTTTTTAAATCTTCTTTAAATGCAGTTTCATTGTAGCCTCGGCTTATAATGATAGAAAATATTTCACATCCTAAACAAAATAAATAAAAATAATGAATTATTACTTGAACAAAAAAAAAAAATTTTTATCAAACATTATACCGGCAGTGAAAGCTGCTAATTTAGTCATCAATGCTTTTCCGCTACCACCTACGCCAATAAGCATAATGTGCCCTGTATCCATTTTCAATACTCTGTGAATTCTAGTTAAATGTTCTAATGCCATGTCAAATAATACCATGTCGATTTTTTGGTTTTGTTCGTTGTATTCTGCCAAAATCTAAATTATATTTTTGATTAGACGATATTTTTAAAATTATTTCTGGCTTCATGTTACTTCAACAAACATTTTCAGTACAGCTTCATACGTTTGATAATCTTCATATAGATCCGGTACATCTTCATTCAAAGCATTCTTAAAATCGCCAAAAATTAATGGATTTATTAAAACTTCATTCTTTTCGTTTGGGAAATAAATTCCTAAGGTCTCTTCTATTCGCATTGTTATTAATTGTTCATCCTTGGAACAGACAAAATATATTTACTGATACTAAATAAATAAATACTTAAGCTACCTGTTCACTGTTAAATCTATCACATATTACACGAGTAAATTCATTTCTCCATACTCTGACAAAACTCAAAACATTATTAAATATCGTCGGATTTGTAAAAAGCATACCATTAATTATTCTACTTAAATCTCGAAGATTAAATATGTAATGGAACTTATTGGGAGTAGGTGGGAGTTCTGCTAAAGTAATCTAAAAATAAAACAAAATAAAAATGTTGCTGATATTTTATTATTGATAAATTATTTTAAAGCTTATAATTTTATTATACTAGTACAAATCAAATTAACCTTATATAGTCTCAAAGTCATTTCTAAGATAATTGGAACAATTTTTTTAACATCTTCGTTAAAATTAATGGTATGTCCAGAAAGTATTGAATTGAATATATGATTAATTGTATCATCTGAAGGAAATGCCATACAATAAACTGAAAACATTGAAATAAATCTTGGATCTACTTCATTTCTACCACTACCGGGTTTACCCATTGCTGCATACAAATCTTAAAAATATCAAAAATAAGTTTACAAGGAATAAACTAACATGGATGAAAAATTGACTCACAAATTTCAATTAGTGACTTCCATGTTAATTCTTTACCACGATCATACATTCCTCCCGATTCCAAAAATAATTTCAATAGTGCTATTGGTTGTTGAGTACCATATGTGTCGACTTGAGGCATGTTCATATCGTCCACAAAGCAAACTAATTTTTTACCAATTGGTGGTCCATATATATTTTTGTTTCGCTTGGCAACATTTGCTTCTAAAATCATTTGTACATCTAAAGAAGTTGTTCTAGAAGAAAAATTTAAATTTGCTTGCATCTATAAACAAATAAAATAAAATACAAATAGATCTTTGAAAAATTTTGGTCGAGCAACAAATACAAATAGATTAGTGTCTAGAGTTCTTAAAAAGTTCTGCATTGTTGCTGTTTTTGATGTTCCTGTTTCTCCAATAAGAATCATTGGACGTTTTACGTCCGTCATAAGATTTAGTAACCATGTGACTCGTGTGGAATCAACAGTTGGCACTAGTATTTCGTTGAATTTAATACTTGGATTGTGCACATAATCAGGTACAAGAGTGTTCCACGGTATCCAAATTTGTTTCTCGACATCCAAATAGTATTCATACCATGTTTCTTCGTGACAAGGAATAAATTCTGTTTAAACACACTTATATTTTTACAAAAATTATATTTAAACATGTATAGTGTACCTAACCACAAAAGCATCATATTGATTGAATATCTACATCAGAAAAAGACCATTAACCCAACAAGGTATTATGAGATCCTAAAAAAATTGAGAAAAGTTATTCAAAATAAAAGGAGAGATCTGTTAACAAGAGGAGTCTGCCTACTGCGCAACAACGGCAGACTCCACATAACCAATCTCACGAAGCAACTCTTGAACACTTATGGATGGGATGTTCTTAACCCTTCATATTTTTCCAACCTGGCACCTTCGGATTATCATTTGTTCGTTTCCAACAAGAAACACATAAGCAAAAAAAAATTTTCAATCGTCAAGGTTGTGGAGGGGCAGCCGACAAGTGGACAATGAGGTAGCGGCAGAATTTTACAAGGCAGGTATCAAAATATTATCTACCGTCTCACATCAGCGTTGAAAAGGGAGATAACTATGTAGAAAAAACAGCATACAAATATTCTAACCGTGTAATTTTTTTAATATATATTTTTAAAGTTTACAAAAGCTGAGTACACATAATTTCTGGACATGTCTCATATTTATTAAAAAAATTCAAAAGTTTTAATATTTTGATATAAATATCAAAAAATAAAATAAAATATTTTATTAAATGTATTTAACTGTCATAAAAATGTAGCTCAAATCTCATTATCAAGAAGAAATTTTGGTTATTTTAAAAGTTACAAATTAATCAAAACAGATCAAAATGCAGAACTAAGAAAATTGTCTAATGAAACTATTAGTATGTGTTCTAAAAAGTCGAAAACTTAGCTGGGCAGGACACATAAGAAGAGCGAAGGATAGTATGATAAACAGCGTCACAATGTAGAAGCCAGATTGAAAAATACCAAGAAGACGATTAAGTCATGGTGAAGAAATCGACAAAAGAAGATCTGAAACTCTTAGAAATCAAAGATGGAGAAAGTATTGAATAGAGGCATGGAGAGGCTTAGTGGAAAGGGCGAGGGTCAAATGGCCTAGAATTAGCCATAGAAAAAAAAATTGTATCAAGCAAAATACAAAACTCTAGATCACATACTTATTTTTCAATACTTTTAAACTATATTTTAACGATATTATACTAAAAAGTTAAGTTTTTTGTCATTTTTAACAGCAGGAAATTTTTTCGCTTTGTTTCTTTGAATGATTTGAAGCTCAAATTGAATGCAAAATAAAAATACTATTCTAAAGTACTATTTTTTCTAAAATCTAATTAATCATTTAATATAAGCAGTATATATTATATATAAATCATATTTTCTAAACATATTTTAATGCTTAAAAGCAATATGAAACAATTGATTTAGGCAATTAAAAAGCTATCATATATTATTAGTATTGCCTTTTGAGAAATGAAATAAATCACTTACTAAAAGAAGCTCGTTTTGACGGAGAATCATCAAGTTTAACGAATCCTGTTATTTTTTTTACGAAATCATCAAATATTAATCGAGAGTTTTCTTCTATTGGTGCTCCTAATGAAGAATAAATAGCGGAAATGAATATTGCTTCCATTTCATCAGTTACTTCAACAACTTTATTAGATGCATCGTCTTGAGAACTTTGAGAATTCGTTGATATTTCAGTGATTTGTTCCGCGTCAGTATTTAAAACTGCATCTAAAATGTAACACATCTGGGTAACCTAAACACAAATATATTATTATTATTATATTATAACCATTATTAATTCCTAAAAGCTTGTAACTATAAAACAATTGAATAATTCATACCAAATTTAATTTAGTCTGAAATATAATTAATTTTAATGGACTGAACATTTCGAATCCGTAGTTTCCATCAAATATACGATCCAAAATAACTGGTATATATTTTTCAAATAGTATATTTAAATGTTCTCTATCAATCAATCTTCTATTTAATAAGAATTTACTCCAGTACGGAGTGTAGCCAAGGTTTTTAGGATCTACATAAACCATACCGGCTCTGGAGACTGTTGCAGGTGAAGCATATTTTAAGTCGCCTACCTAAAGGTAATTATTGTGTCAAATTGTACTAATAAATAGTGTTAAAATATTATATTAACTTCAAATAATAACGCGCAATGAGGTAGTAGACGTATACGTTCACCATTTGCTAATGTTAAAAGCCTATTATCATCCATAACTGAGTTCATATTTTCTATCCACAAAGCATCTACGTCACCGTCAAACAGTATATACCTTCTTTCTGGTTTATCTTCTGGTATAGGTTTGTTGATTTCACGAAATATATTTGAAAGAAGTCCATCAGTCCAATCTCTAGTGACGAGATTAAAAAAACCATAAAGTTCAACAACTGTACAAGCCTGTAATTTTGTTTTCTTTTAGAATTCATCGATCGGAAATACAATTTTTCAAAAGGTACTTTAGGATTTAATGTATACAGTTTTGTTGGTAATCCAAGTGATATCTGAGCATTAACTAGCGTATTAATAACTACAGTTTTTCCACCTCCGGTGGGACCTACAATCATGGTTGAATGTCTTGTCATCATTGTTTCATATAATTGAGTAACTTTATCCATCTAAGAAAATAATTAATTAAAAAAATTAAATTAAAACTAATCATTAGATAATAATAAATGATTTTTATAACTCTTAACCTCTTAGTGCTGGATCATACTATGCGTTTTGGACGGTTGCCGACTAACAGGAGTCGATCAGTAATTAAACCACAACATTAAAAATAAAATAGGTTCAAATATGCGCCAAACTAGACCAATTTGCAGAACTCATTAAAAACCATCTGGAAGCAACAGCAACGCGTTGCGGCCTAACCGTCCCGATGCGTTTCGGAATGTAAATCACAACACGTGCAATTCAGTTTGTCCTATCACACTTGCGCGGATTATCGGTGACCGAAATTGAAAATTTTATGAATAATTAATAATCATTTTTAAATTTAAATAATTAAAAACTTGAAATATATTTGCAATATACATTTATATATTATTATATTTCATTTATATTATAGATGTACATCATTACCGATTAGCATAATTAGTTGATACACGTTTTAAATAAAAACAAATAATTATAATTAACACGACCTTTTTATTAGTTTTTACTTATAACATTAGATACATTTCGCTAAACTATAAAATCAGTTTAAAATTAAAAATGATTTCCGGGTTTTTTAATTTCATTTGTATGGATTTGGTTACCGATAAAACGCATAGTGTGATTGAACCCTTATATTTAAAATGCAATTTTACGTGTGCAAACGTACATCCCAGTATTGTTCTCTTATCTAATCGCGGAACAGTCATTAAACAACAATACAATGACGTCTAGTACGGGTAATATTATAACTTAACTACTATACGTGCCAAAACATTATTACGTTAGCTATACACCAATACGAAAGACAAGCGACAACTAATTATGTCCGATCTACTTCCCGATCATAATAATCCGAAAACTAACTCTTTGTATAGGTAATATTATGTTTTAGAGCATATTTTAACATACAAAGTAGGTGAGACTCGCGCTACCTAGTAAACAATTAACGCTACCTTGTAGTTAATGAATGTGCCTCGTACCCCATGCCCAAGTCCCGGGGCATATTATTATTATTATTATTATTTATTGACAAATACGTTTTGCTTATTGTTTTTACTACTTTCCAACTCGATAATCATCGTTCGAATTAAAATAAAAATAACTTTTATTAATACGGATGACGAAAAATACCAAGAACTACTTTACTATCGGTGGTTTTTTACTTCTGTATCCACTATAAGTACAGTAGAAACTCGATTTACCGTCAGTTTCTGTTATCCGTCATCGGTCACCGTCACGTTACGTGACCTAAACCTAACCTAACCTAAACGGTCACGTTACATATTTACATCAAAATTTTATTTTACGTGTCGTGAGCTCCGAAATATCGGAGTACATTGTAATAATATACCCCTTACATGTGTCAGTGAATAAAGTGAAACTGCATCATTGAAGTCACCCGTTTGCAACAAGAGATAGCACTAGCACGTGTCGGCTGTTAGGTGTGAAATGCATCCTGGAGTTTATTGTTCTACAATAAAAAATATCAAAACAACTTCGAGGATACTTATAAAATGCAAGGCCGTGGGCTATAATAGCAAAGAACAGATTCCATTTATAAGGAAGCTTAGAAAGCAGCAATATCAGATGTACCATAGCCGTTAACAACTGAGCACCTTCAGCCATCTAACCATTATCTTACACTTCAAAACTTATACTTCGTTTAAACTTAATAAAAACCTAATGTTCATTGATATATTTATATTATATTATTAAATATCTGATAACTGAAAGTACGCATACAACATACGAAATAAATATTAAAATTAAAATGCCTAAAGTAAAGATACCATATTTGGATCGAATTCGTGGATACATGAGAGAATATTATGGTAGTGATGTGTTTTCTATGGATGATCAAATTTTATTTTGTAAATTATGTAAAGTGACAAAAAGTTTACAATTACTCAGCATACATCATAAAGTAAGAACAGACAAGGTTTACGACAAATTGCAGGCATAAAAATTAAATTTTATTAACAGTACCAAAATTATTATTCTTTGAAGACTAAACTAATGCATTTCTATCTGCTATGAATTAAATCGACAAATTTTTCGCCAATAAATATACCAAACAAATCTACTATTAAAAAAAGTTACATTTGTAAAATTTATGAAAACACAGTTATAAAAATTTGGCAGTATATATAAAATAAAAATATTTGGATTTTTAAATAAACGATTTGGGGGGGGGGGGGGCGTTACGTAACAAACGTTATAGTTGGAACATTAAAAGTAGATACACCCGGAAAAGTATTTTTATCAAATAGCTATGTTTTAGAAAAAAAAGGTTCATAGTACAATCGCAAAATTATTTGATAGATCTCTTTTAATTTTGTGGCCAACAGGGATAAAACATCACGAGTTATTACTTTTTTTGAGTGACGCAGCTTCATACGTGGTTAAGGTTGAATAATCTTTAAGTTCCTTGATTCTGAAATGATATATTTTACTTGTTTGGCACATTGTTTACATCGAGTATCAGAAGAAATCCGGGGTCAATTTTCTGAAGTTGATTAATTCATTTCAAATGCAAAGAAAATTTTTCTAAAAGCGTCATTCAGAGTGAATTACATTAAAAACTGTAGCTCCTAGTATTCCTTTGCCCCCTCAACCTATAGTGATGCAATCATAGTAAACTGAAAAATTAAATTATTGTGAGAACTTTCCAGTTATTCAAGCCATTTTAAACCAATTTAATAAGGAAGATGCAATTTTAATTGCAAAATGTCAACAGTTACTTACTGAAGGAACTTTATTAGCCTTTCAGCTGCAATAAATAAGCTAGAAATATTAGGATTAACATTAGGGTAGTTCTCTGGTATAGATGAAGGAAAAAAAAATTGCAAAATGTTACCAAAATATTACCAAGTTACCACCCTCCAATCAGTTCCATTACTTAAAAAAAGCATGAGAAAAATTTTTTAGACAAATTAATCAAATTTAACCCGTGCCGCAAAAGCTCTAAGTTTTAATAACAAGAAAATGTCCGAAATCGTTAGTTTTTGTATATAATTGATCATAACTCTTAAATGAATGATTCTACAAAAAATTGTAAAGACTTTAATTGTACATTATTATTATTACAACAGTTTTATACACATACATTTTTTTAAATATTTAATTATTAAAGATATTTGAATTTAAATTTTAAAAATAAAAATTTGTAACTATTTTTTTACGTAGCAATAAATAAAATGTTTTCTATATTATATAATGCGATTTAAATGAATATAAACTTAATGTGTACTGTATAATATAGTTTGTAAGTAATCCTACACGTTTTAATCTATGATTCAAGAGAGTAGTATAGAATCGTTAGAAAGGTAGTGTACTTAGTACCTATACCCGTATTTTGTGATTTTTAAGTGAAGATTATTTCCATGACTCATTGTAACATTTATGATTCATACAACAAAAGTTAATATAATCTACAATCTACAATCTACATCATTGTACATTATTACACTTTGGACTTACGTGTTATCGGGTTTCTTAAGTCATTATAGATTATCAACAATTAATTATTATTTTGCGATTTATTAGTTTATTGCTCAGTTGACGTACAACAACAACCCGTGTCATACATAAATATTGTTGAGTGTTAAGTTTTTACAATTTTTTATACTTTGTAAGCAGTATATTTTATTTTACTGATTTACAATGGTTACCAGGAATAGTTTACGTGAGTCAAAATATATATTTTTAATTGGACATAGTTCAAATCAAATAGTTGGTAGAAAATTACCATCAAACAAACAAATTTTGTCCGTACTATTTTTTAATATGCGCGAAGTTAATTTAAATCTTCATCAAAGTGCTACATTAGTGATACAAAGAAGCGACAATTTTTTGGCGGAAGGCACGTATACCAACAAAACCGAACAAAAATGTGTGACCAAGTTGGAAGATTTATACCAAAAGTGGAGAAATTTGCAAAACTCAGAATATAGAAAAAGTGCAACTCAAAAAATATGCAGTTTGTATCGAAGCTAGATGATTTATTCGATGTAGCAAACGCAAACGCTTTAGATTTAATGTCTATTGAGGAAGATAGAGCATTTTTAATTGCCCAGAGACAGAAAGGTCGAACTGGATCATTGCTTGGTATTGATCAAAAAACTATAAAAAAAGAAAAAACCATAGAGGATCGGAAACAAGCGACAAATAAAAGAAAAGATCGTGCTCATAAAGAATTTGAAGCTTCAAGTAAGATTTTAGTCTAAAATAATAATCTTATTTATATAACTACTATTAAATGAGTTGTGTGTATAATAATAGAAAATTAATTTCAGATAAAACTGTTGAACTATTGTCGTCCTGTAGTTCTGACGAATGTGACGATGCAGACAATGAAGCATTTGTACATGAAGATGTTTCCGGTCCATTAAGTAAATATTTCAAACCAACCGGAGGGTACGATGACTTTGTCTCCGAAAAGCTTGCAATCGTATTGGACAAATGTAAAATCAGTGACCGGAATGCTGTACATCTTTTCGTTGCTACTGCAGAAGCTTTAGGTAATAATGTTAATAAACTTATTGTAAACCGATCATCAATTCGATGTTCTCGCATAAAATTTCGTAAGGAACGTGCCGAAAAAATACGTCGTGACTATAACTTGGCTAAGAAAGACGCAGTTGTTATACACTGGGACGGAAAACTTCTTCCAAATTTAACAGGGAAAGGCTTAGTTGATAGGCTGCCTATAATTGCTTCTGTAAATGGTCGTGAACAACTGCTAGGTGTCCCGGCGTTAAATAGTGGAACTGGACGCGAACAAGCCAACGCAGTATACTAAACGCGTGTAGATTGGTGTTTAGATGAAAATGTACAAGCACTATGTTCCGAATGTTCCGATACTACAGCATCAAACACAGGTCGCTTAAACGGAGCTTGTGTTTTGCTTGAGCAACTATTAGAACGCGAAATAGTGTATTTACCATGCCGCCATCATATATAT